GAAAAATGTAATGATTTTAACCAGCAAATGTGTAAGAAAAATACAACTGTTTTATAACATCTTGCTTGATACAAGTAGCATAAAAAGATTCTGTCACATGCTCTTTTTATTGGACACTCATCTATAAAATGAGAGACTGATGTATGCAAAACATGAGAAAAATGCAAAATGACAACACAATAGTCACGTTAAGCTCCAAACAAGCAGTTCTTTAACTTTTCTCTGTTGCTAAACTGCTTTATTCTTTCATTATATATAGCTTTAGGAAAATGTTTTAATGGCTTATCTGTAATTTTTTTCAGTCATCTTAGACTTGATTAATTTATTTTTGTTTTATGATCATTTTTAAAAAACTCTCTTTCTCATGAAATCTTTCCTAAAAGGGGACTTGTGTAATTCTGTGAAATAATCCATCTGCAGCAAAAAAGTACAAAATAAAATCAAAGCACTTCTCTAAGCTTGTGTGTCCTAATCTCAGTGAAGTTAATGAAAATGGAATTGAGTTTAAGAAAAATACTTTTTTAAAAAAGCTCTTGTTGAAAACCACAGTCATTAATAAGGACCTTTTTGTGTTGAATTACAGACACAATGAGGCTTAAAACTTTGTGTTTCCAGTTCTTTTTGCTCTAGATGCTTCCACAGTGTGTTGATTACTATGAAACGTTTGATAAAAGCTTAAATGAACATCAAACTGAGGAATAAAAAACACCTTTAACATAGTGAACAGATTCAGAAAAATGTTAAAGAAGAAAATAAAGTAGAGTACTTCAAGCTTGAACAACTTTAAAAAACAGATCATTTGTTTGTTTGTTTGTTTAGTTTGAGAAAGCTAAAAAAATAAACAGAAAGATACAAACTTATCTTTTTGCATTTAAACTAATAAATATTAAGATTCAGCTTTTGATTTGTGTTGTATTGTGAATGAAGTTGTTTTATGTGTGGGTTTTTAAATAATCAAAATTCACTATCAAGTTGACAGCTCTTCTGCAGTTTGAACATCTGGAATAAATGTCAGCAAACCTGACAGCAGTTTTTCTGTTATGAGAGCTGGAAAAAGGGGGAATTTCCTATGATGTAATCAGTGAAAGAAATGCTTGAAAAAGCCAAACTCCATATTATTGTTTATGCAAAACTTTTCTATTCAAATTCAGCCAATGTTGGTACGCTACAGACACTGACTTTAGTCCTTAGAACAGGAAAACTGCTGCTTTAAAACTGCACTTKGTTCATCTTAGTTACTTGTGAGAGATTGAGACAAAAGAAAAAAAACTAAGTCAATTTAGCCGTGTCAGTTGTGTTTCAGACTAAATATTAAAAGTTGAATTTTTTTAAATTGTTCATTCTATTTTTATTCAATCCCAGTGGTTTAGGAAGCTTACAGCTTTTCAAAATGTTCTCCATAAGGAAGTACAATATGAGTAAAACCTGCGATGTGGGATAACTGCTTAATATGAGGACAATATGACTTAAAATAAATGAACAAATACATAAATATGTAGTGTTGATGTTTTTCTACTTTAGGTTCAGAGCAAATAGACAACTAATGCATAATTTCCATTCCAACAGGACAGTTTTATTTTAAAAAAAGTGCAACCAGACACAGCTGCTGTATTATAT